TTTTTTACCAACTTCACAGCATATCATGTCAGCACTTGTCGATTTATTTCATTCTACTACCAGCCAATATAATTCCACCTTGTAGAGGACCTAGAATGGTAGTTTTAAAGGGCTTTCTAATTGTTATGATACCTTGTAACAGTTCTGTTCTTTTTTCTAAGTCTTGTTTCTAAAACATTTTGTTTTCTTTTTTGTTTGTTTGTTTGTTTGTTTGTTTTTTGAATAGTAGATATTGATATCCAGACTGGTAATTACTTGACAAAGGAAATGTGCAAAGAAAAAGATAGTGTATCATTTGAACTTCAGAGGGACTTTTCCCATGAAACAGACTTTTCAGAAACCTATATGCTAGAGAAACAACAGGAAGTCCTGCAGGAAGTGTGAAGGAGGAAAACAGTAGCATTGTTGATGGAACAGTGGAAGGTGAAACAGGCACCAAGGAGGAGTGTTTCTCTAGTCATAGTCTAAACCTGCATCAGTGTCATATCACCTCCACTGGAGAGCAGCCCCCTGAGTGTACAGGACGGGAGAAAGCCTTCCATTGTGATACAAAACTTAATAAGCATGAAATAATTACTACTGGAGAAAGACCTATAAAATGTGAAGAATTAGTGGGAACCTATAGGTGTGACTCTCAACTTAATCACCATCAAGAAAGCCACGGTAGGGAGAATTTGTATCAGTGTACAGAGTGTGGCAAAGCCTTCAGCATTAATGCAAAATTAATTTGGCATCAAAAACTTCATGGTGGGCAGAAACCCTTCAGATGTGTGGAGTGTGGGAAAAGCTTCAGCTACAGTTCCCATTACATCACACATCAGACAATCCACAGTGGGGAGAAGCCCTATCAGTGTCAGGTGTGTGGGAAAGCCTTCCGTGTCAATGGAAGTCTAAGCAGGCATCAGAGAGTCCACACAGGAGAGAAGCCCTATCAGTGCAAGGAGTGTGGAAATGGTTTCAGCTGCAGTTCTGCATATATTACTCATCAAAGAGTCCACACTGGGGAGAAACCTTATGAATGTAATGACTGTGGGAAGGCTTTCAATGTGAATGCAAAATTAATTCAGCATCAGAGAATCCACACTGGAGAGAAGCCTTATAAATGTACTGAATGTGGGAAAGGCTTCAGGTGTAGCTCCCAACTTCGGCAGCATCAGAGCATTCACAATGGAGAGAAGCCCTTTCAGTGTAAGGAATGTGGGAAAGCCTTCAGTAATAATGCTAAACTCATTCAACATGGAAGAATCCACACAGGTGAAAAACCCTTTGAGTGCAGTGAATGTAGAAAAGCCTTTAGTGTGAAGGGGAAGTTAATCCAGCACCAGAGAATTCACACAGGTGAGAAGCCTTATGAGTGTAATGAATGTGGTAAAGCCTTCAGGTGTAACTCCCAGCTTCGGCAGCATCTGAGAATCCACACTGGGGAGAAGCCCTACAAGTGTAGTGAATGTGGAAAGGCCTTCAATGTTAATGCAAAACTAATACAGCATCAAAGAGTTCACACTGGGGAGAAACCCTTTGAATGTACAGAGTGTGGGAAATGCTTTACTTCCAAAAGAAACTTACTTGATCACCACCGAATCCATACTGGAGAAAAGCCTTATCAGTGTAAGGAATGTGGGAAAGCCTTCAGCATCAATGCCAAATTCATTCGACATCAGAGAATACACACAGGGGAGAAACCTTTCAAGTGTATGGAATGTGAAAAAGCATTTAGCTGTAGTTCTGACTACATTGTGCACCAGAGAATCCATACTGGAGAGAAACCCTTTCAGTGTAAGGAATGTGGAAAGGCCTTCCATGTTAATGCCCACTTAATTCGACATCAGAAAAGTCACACTGGGGAGAAACCCTTTAGGTGTGTGGAATGTGGCAAAGGCTTTAGCTATAGTTCAGACTGTATTATACACCAGACTGTCCACACTTGGAAGAAATCCTATGTGTGTAATGTGTGTGGGAGAGCCTTCAGGTTTAATTTTCAACTTAGTCAGCATCAGAGTGTCCACAGTGAAGTAAAATCCTAATAGTGAAAAGAATTTAGAAAACTCAAGATTAATGTCAAAATGGATCAAGTTTCATCAAATTTGCCTTGTTGGAAACAAGAGGGTAATTAATATGGTGGAGTCTTCACATGGAAATAAACCTTTTTGTTTTACTCAATTTTCAATCAGGAATGAATGGGTGACTATAATGTAATATCCAAAAATAATTAGCTTTTTATTTTATACAACCAACCAACTAAAAGTATAAAGAGGTATAATATCCCATTCCCAGCAGGCTCCAAAAAAGTAAATTTTTGGGACCAGCAGTTAGCGTAATGGCTATGTCTCTGGACTCCCATGTAGTTGACCGCAGTTCGTGTCCCGGACCCGTTGGCTTAAACTCATACCGGGTATGTGTGCGTGTTTGCCCAAGATCCTGAGAGGAGAATGGAGGAGAAGGGATTGCAGTGTGGCCATCTGGGGGATGATTTCTCGCTTTCTGTCTCTATGTCTCTCTCTGTCAGGTGAATGTACGCGCCCTATAGCAAAAACCTCTTAAAAAAAGATAATAAATTTTTTAGACAGTGACTACAGAATCTATATGGAGAAAACTAAAGTCTCAACTGAGGGCCATCAAAGGAACTTGAGGGATGGGAGGGAAAGAAACTTTGTTTTTGGATAGTAAAACTCCGTATTATAAAGATATTCACTCTACCTAAATTAATTTATTTGTTTAATTTTTGACAAGCATGCATTAGTTTTGTAAAGAGGAAAAACAATAAAGATTTTCTTTAAAAAAGAATTCTCATGGTATAGAGAACTTCTTAGAAGTTTATATATTGAGGAGGCATACCCTCATCAGGGTTGGGCGGGGGCCCTGATAGGAGAGGGGGGCTCCTAGCCTCCCAGCCAGCTAGAATCTGCATGTCTCAGGATGAATCCAGATTGTTTAGGTTGACTCAGGACCAGACCCTAGGCCTTTCCATGTGGCCTCAGCATTGCACAGTAGTGCCCCACAGCTTGCATCACCTTAGCTGGGCCTAATAGAGAAAACCTTTATAAGCATCGGGTGAAAGTTAGAATCCAACTGTAAAGAAAATACTGGTAAGTAGACATAAAAATTAAATAATCCCTGTGTTTTTGTTCTAAATAGATGCCAAAAAAGGGCAAAAAAAAAAAAAAAAAAAAAAACACAAAAAGGGGAAAAACCTTTGTA